ATGTATATACAAGTTTAAAATAAAATTAAAACATTAATTTTATCTTTTCAAAATGGATCTCATAAATCTATTACTTTAAATAAAATTCGAATTACGAAACATGTAATTTTAATAAATTAAAAGTTGTAATAGGTTTAAAAAATTTAAGAAGAAATAAAATTAATTTACCACGAAAAGTGGCACGATTTATAATAATTTAAAAATGTTAAAAACTTTCCATTTTTACTCAATTTATTAAACTCACATAATTTCCATTCTTATCTTACATATTATAAAATTTTAGGAAAGGAATAATAATAAATTAGAATAATGATAAATTAGATTTCATTTTCCGATTGAAACGAAGATAAATGTAAATTTAATTATCAGGCGTTAAATTTAGATTTAACTCGTGATATTTACGATAAAATCTCCATAGTCAATTCCGTTGTAATGCGATATATTTCCACATGTTTATCACATTTCCATAATTTATAAACTAATAATTGTTAAATCATCGGCTACTTGTTACTGACAATTTTACTCACAATTTACTCGTGATCGCAACAGCAACGTTATATTTACTCAGATTATAATGACATTATTGCATATTCAAATGCACACACAATGTGCACTGTAAATTTAGATATCCCTGATATCCGATATTGTTATATAACTGATAGATAGATATATATTAACTCAATATTTTAGATTATCTTTAAATGATGTTAGCTTATATCTATGATACAACAATAATCGTAGCGTTAAGTATAGCGATATTGTACAGAATAACAATAGCTGACTCAGAGAGATAATACAGACAGTAGAAGACGTATTGTTTATCTGTTGCTCATTTCTTACTTGTGATCTTCGGCTTAATTTGTCCGGATATGACGAATCCTGTATCGTTCCTAAATGAAGTAATATATATATATATATATATACATATATACATATATCAGTATCTAGACAGAATTTCAAGATTACAAAATAATATTTCTTTAGTTACGTACACTGAGAGAAAATATATTAAAATTGAATAAATAATTGTTTGAATAGTACTAATATTTATGAAAAATAAATATTAGCAAAATAAAAAATATAATAGTTATATCAAATTAATTTTTTGATTCTTGCATCAAATAAATATAATAGATTTATATTTAGTAAATATTCAACTGACACTATTCAAATAAATATTTATTTAAATTTAATACATTTTTCTCTCAGTGTATTTAATATTCTTAAAATTAAAAAATTCCTTAACTACATATTTTAATCATACATATTTTAATATGTAAATGAAAAAAATATGATATGTTTTTTATGTTAAAATAATTCTCTTTAGTTTGACTTCCAACATATTTCGTCTATAAAGACTACGTCAGGTTCTCTGGGACATCTATAAATTTATTTACGAGATCATTTTTTGGAAACATGTTACGTGGGAAGAATGAAAACGTCTAAATTATTATCGGGGAAGGGACGATATGTCCTTTTCGGTAATATTAGTCGATCCATCATTCTTATGTCAGGCTCTTGGTGTTCAAAAAGGGATGAATAATCGCTATGACATCGCTATGACAAGAGCTGCATTGATCGTCCAAAAAAGTAGCTATCGTTTTTTTTTACATTTTAGTAAAGCAAGATTACTCGGCATTAATTACTATTTCATCATTCTGAGCATATCATCTGAGAATGAATACGAAAACGTTGATCCACATTGACGGACCTTAACCTGGTTTCGTTCGGTTGATTAATGTGATCAACATGGTAGGAGATATACGCGATAATGAAAGATAACTTTGTTCCCTCCGTTCTAATCGCATAAACTGCAATGCAGACCTTTTATATACCTATGGGCCAATAATTCAAAGTAAAATAATATACATAATGACACTTAAAATTATGCCTCAATTAACAAAAAACGCGATAAAATAAAAATAATTGTAAAATATTTTTTATACAATAAATATGATAGCAAAAAAACTTTCTGATAGTCATATTTATTGAATATTATTTCCTTCTCTTTTCATAAATTTTATCTTCTCTTTTATTAAATTTAATATTAAATTACGTGCTTATCTAATAATGCATAAAATTATATAAAAAAATATATAAAATATCATCACAGAAATATAATACGTATTGAAAGATGGATCAGCAAGTATTAACGGCGAGAGAAAGATTTCTTCCTTTTGCCGACAAAAGTAATCTTGTTACACAAAAGTGCCCCCGGCATCTGAGACTCATTGTCAGAAACACCGATAAAGATAAATGAGCTTTCGTGCTTAAGGATTAACCGAGTGGTTGCGTGTCTCGTAACGATCGATGAAGCGGCAAATCTACGGATAACCGTCTCGTTTAAGTGTTCAATCGTAAATAAGTAGTAACGAACGTGCATGGGCGGACAACGTGATGACAGTGGTATCGATCTTCGCATTTGAGATTTGCAAACAGCAGTATTGCCGAATAAGGATTATTAGAATTTATTAATGTTAAATCTTACATTATAAATTTTTGGAAATGGATTTTCACTCCCGAAGAGTGATAGTTGCGCAGGAGTGAAATTTTCACTCTTATGCCTATACACATTGGAGATGCACTGAGGATTGCAAATTGAGGATTAGAATTCAGCCAATTAGAACAAAATGGATTAAAATTAAAATTATCTGATTGATCGAATTCTAATCTTTAATTCGCAATCTTCAATCTTCAATACGTACTGTGACACGGATATTAGAGAGTGAAGAAGCACTCCAAGCGAGAGTTAATTTTTAATTTGCAGAGAATGAATAATTTCACTCTGATAAAGACTGAAATTTCATTCCGATAAATGTCAAGTATAGCTCTCTTATATCCAAATCTTGACAAAATTAAATATTTTTGCACAAAACGAACGAATCTGGCAGAAAAAAGCGTCACTCTGCTTCGCGAAGCGAGATATTAAAGTTGACCTTTTAGAAAATTTTTAGAAAATTCCTTGAAGTAATTCACTCTTGCCGGATTGGCGCAACTATCACTTTTCTTGGAGTGAAATTTCACTCCCCAAAATTTAGAGTATACAAGATGTTAAGATACCTCGTGCATTTCTCATTAGTATTATATTTGAATATACAGGGTACTCGTGAACTAGTAGTACTTACAATTGAGAAGGAAGTGATTCTACATGAAAAAATAAGTCGAAAACGTTGAATAAAATTTTCTTATATAAGGCATTATTTTTAAGAAAATCAATTTTAAGTATTCGCCTGGTATAAATTTAATTAAAGAATTAGAACATGGAAAGTATTTATAGAAATTTACTTTAAAGACCAGAATTGTGTATTCGACAGAATAAACAATAATTTATAAAATAATAAAATTTATCGTGTGTGAATATCCTATTTTTGAGTATTTCCGATTATCAATACGATAATAAACACAAATACAAGCGGAGATAATAGTTCACGAAATTCATCAAATCGAGACATAGTTAAGTGCACTTGGCGAACATTTAAAATCGATTCTCTTGAAAACAAAGCCTAACGTGACAGAATTTTATTCTACATTTTCAATTTATTTTTTAATGTAAAATTACTCTCTTCTCGATTACTATTCGATTTTACGAGTACTCTATTTACTTAAACAGCCTGTATGCACTTGCATGCACAAATAACACTGAATCACTGTTATTATCTGTGTTGAAAAATTATTTAAAAAATTATCAATTTGAATAATACGTATTTCCCATCGTATTTTCTAAAGCTTATTAGCTTTTTGTTCCTTATTTCTGCCGAAATCTATTTATCTTTTATGAAAAAAGCTAAGCTTCGAGTTCTCGTAAGATGAGGACTTATACTTACTGCAGAGAGACGGGTAACGGTCGCTGAGGAGGGTTCCAAGCGGGCACAAGCCTGGTCGGCCGAGCGTGTAGAGCTGCTGGGATGCTGTACGATCGACGGGTCCGTAATTACACACGAGTACTTCGACCTGAAACCCGCCTAGCACCATCGCGATCTTGCTCAAGTCGAGCGTGTAAATCGCGCGGCCGCAACCTACGTAAATGAACGTCGCCGATGCGAAGGGAATGTAAGAGGAGAGTTGCCACGCCGTGTTAGAATAGTTCACTAGTCTGAAAGGTACGATTAACTGGACTAAATTAAGGTGGATGGCCGGCAGTCAGTTCTCGGGCCTCAAGCTCTTTCCATTGACGCAACTTGAATTCAAATTAGGACGGATCTTTTCATAATTTGAGATGCTCTCGTAAGATTCGAGAGCATTCGAGAGATTTACTCGCATCTTATAGATTTATCTTGAAAGTCGTGCAATGCAAATTATTAAAATTAAGTTTTACGAAGAAATGTAGAATTAATTGAGATTTTGTTTGAGCATGTATGATAATTCTAACACATATTGCCTTAAAAAAGGCCGTAAAATTTGTATTTGAAAGCTATCTTTTTTTTCTAATATTTTTGAATAATCAATATTTTTGTATTTATACATTTCTCTTACCAATTCTCTTAGCAAACATATTCGGATAAAATTTGACATAAAAAGTTGTATAGATATAAAAAAAAGCGATAGGGGTAATACGTTTTTGTACAGCTCTCTTTCGAGCACACTTTACAAGGTTAAAGTTCGAAGTCTGATTGTATCGCATTTTCATGTATCCTGTAGGAAATTGAAACCTTTTTTTTCTATCAGAACTGAAATAATAAAAAAACGACAGAGGCTCGTTTATAGCTGCTAGGGGATCCGTGTACTGGACTATCGAGTAATTTAGACCGGTACAATAGCACTCTCGATTTCCAATTTACCGAGAGAATACGCGATTTTGATTGTTCCCAGCGACAGAAGAAGAACCATCCGCTATTCTTCTATTTTCACCCTCTGTTCCATACAATCGGTCTTCGGTCATTTTCTCCGACGGTCAAGTCGCTTCATTTCTCTCTTCGTCGTCCTTCAACGCCTGGTAACCTCTCACAGTACCGGCTTTAAAGGGTGATCGAAACGAACTGTTGCTCAGAGCCAAGAAGAGCAGGTAGATAGAGGTACAAGATACGTGAGCGTGCGTTAGCATTAATATAACCCTCTTTGAAGTAAATTATTTTTTTCAAAACTATATAGACTAACTCTTCAAATTCTTTGAAGTGGAATCTTATTCTAAAGAATGAGATCCTTTTTTCAAAACTGGCTGGATTTCCACTTTTTAAAGTGAAATTCCTCTCCAAAGAATTTAGAAAAAAATTGCTAACTTATTGTTTATTTTCTAGTAAATATAAACATAAAATTATAAATATAAAATATTTTTAATATTTTACAACTATTTCGGCGGTTTATTATATTTATTACGAATTTTATATTCCTCTCGCTATTGAAATAAAACGCTACAAATAATTATTTTATAAATTCCATTACACGTTCAAGAGATTTTTCTATTAAAAATGAAATAAAGATACAGATATAGGTATATTTGAAACTTCGTTAATTTATTCTATTTTTTTAATTTTATTTGATTCACGAAAGAATGATAAAGACAGAGCGTGAAAGTTTTCCATTTGATGGAACCGAGATTTTTAAAATCAGCACTAACTCCCACGAGGGTACTCGCGAGCGAAAGCAGAAACGAGGATGGTAGATACGTGGAATGAAATAGAGGCTCGCGAAAAGGCGAGAGGGAGACGAAGGAAAGCGAAGAACAGAGTGGTGGTTGCAAACCTTCCCCTAAAATTCGGGGGAGCGAGTTAGCTGTGTCTACACGCCGCGCCGGATCGAACATCGACCATTCACAAAGGGATAGTAGAGTCTCTTGGCACAAAGGAATCGTTGCGATCAACTCGACTCGAGCCATTGTACCTTTCTCTCGACAGCATCGCGATTCGTGCACGCGTTACTATCGACCTAGATACACATAAGGGAAGCGTGTATGTGTTCGCGACGATCCTTGACGTGTAATTTGCGTATACAGTATATCCCATAGATAGCCAGTTATTTTCCATTTATGGAGTCTTTGACTATCGTGGAATCAATTTTTTTTTTAACAATAACGTCCTGATAATTAATTTTTTAATTATAAACGATTGAAAACAGCACATTTTTCGGAAACTCAAAACAGTTTGAACAGATAATGGAAATGTTTTTAATTTGATTTTAAATAAATTTTATTTTAAAAAATTTAAAAGTTACCAATGGCCAATAAGTGAAAAAGATATTTATTATTGAAAATTGAAAATTTGTGGCGAATAATAAATGATCTTCCATTAATTCGCCAAAAATTAATTGGTCAGACAATCCATGTAAATGACAGGTGTCTCGCTAGATATGGAATATCCTGTACATTTTATGTATAACTATGCGCACTTTCGACTTTTACCCGACATCCGCGTTGTCGAAGTTTTCCACCTCGTCGTACCACGATGTAATATGAAAGTGAATTCTTTTCCTACTCGTGCTATTTTCCACGCTGTCCATGTCGAGTACATTTACGTTCTGCCACACTTCAAATCGTTCTACAACAATCGACTTGTTTCAGTAATATTTACTTGTATCTATGTAGATTAACTTTAATCTCGGTTCGAATTATTATTCTACATTTTTTTTAATTCTAAGAGTTAAAAAAAGATGAAGCGCAAATTGAATCGAGATCAAAGTTAATTCGTATTGGTGAAAACGGATATAAAATAGAGTGAAGTTAGTCACAATTCTATTAATATAAAAAAATAATGACAGTTAGAATATCACTTTTTATAGTTTTACAGTTGTTTATAAAAATAATAAAAGATCTCCGCATTTTTTATATTTTAAAAACCCAAAATTGAAAATTATTTAAAATTATTTAAAATTATTTAAAAATATATAACCGTCGGAACTCTGTTTACAAATAATTATAGGGCATAGAATTTCGCAAAAATTAACGAGAAATGTCGCTGGAGAATTGCGATAAATTATCAGCATGATACTTTTTTTCCAAACGTGCTAACTTCTATATTTAAAATTTTGTTTTCATGTTACATGTGTTGATAAAACTCGAGTAATACTAATGCGAACTGTAGTCGAAAATAGAAATATTTATCTTTATTTGTACTTTAGTGGAAAAGAGTCGTTCTCAATTTCTCGAAATTGGTACGCCGTATTTTTAATTTTGGTTTTTAATATAAAGAATGAGAAATTTTTTTTAGAAAATTTTTATAAGAAACTATAGAATTATTAAAAGAGTGCTACTGGAATTGTCAATATTTTTTTTTATATTGTTAGAATGTGATGATATTTTTACAGATCCTATAAAATGTCTGTATAATGCATTTTGATCTCGTATAGCGTTTGCTTTTAAATTAATGATTCCTGAAATACACAAGATTACTCACACAGTTTTGTCTTATTAAAACCTCGAATAAAACCCTTTTACTCGTTTATCTAATTTCGCAGATATTGAAACCGTTATAAGAAAATATTTCAAGAGTTTCATATCGATCATTTTGAAGATATTTCCGCCAATTGTCGTATTTTTATTCTTATAAATACTTTCGCATATTTTTATATCACCGGAATTTTTATATCACTGAAATCTATGAGCTCCGAATAAACTTTAAACCAAATCCGCAAGCTGTCGATTAGAAAATCAGAGAATCAGGACTGTGCGGTCTTACATTCTCACAATGCTGCATACATAGACGTTTCGGTGGTTGTATCGGTAGAACAATTTCGCGTCTGCATGGGTTATTGGATATTGAAAAATAACGGTACGGCAAGAGGGAGGGATGAAAAATGAGATATATCCGTCGGAGTTACTTGCCAACATCTCGGCACTGATCCTTCTCGAAGAGCTTGCACTGCAGCGCCCATCGACGAGCTATAACGGCAAGTTCGTCGTCCCAGATCTGTCGAAACAAATGACACTTCAGACGTCGTCCACCATCCCCGGGATAAATGATTAAATATCGCGTCGCGCGTATTCCGTCGATTTTTATACCAATTCCATCATGGTCCTTGCGGCGGGCTGCGGCCCGGGATTTCCGCGACTCTCCTTGCCGTTCGCAATGACAACACGATAACGATTATGACTCTCGAGCACCTCCTCGATATCCTCTTCATCGAGGTCGTTGTTCACCATATCGATGCAATCCGCGCTCCCGCAGTCAGACTATACGGATGAATACCAAATTGTAAACTGAAGGTACATTCATGGAAAGAATGGTTTTGCTGAAATATCTAAAAATTAAGGGGATCTTAAACTCGTCTGTTTTATCGATTATTTTTCAATAAGTATTTTTCTAACTGTCTTTATATATACAGATTTAAAAATCTTTTTTTAATTAAAATATATAAAATATAGTGCAGTCCAAACCGGTTAATTTCATGCCAAAAACGAAAAAAATTACAAAATTATATTTTTATCAGTTTCTGGCATTGACTCGTAATAATATTTACTTTATATACAAGTTTTGTAATTTATGAAACAATCTTGATTTAGACTAGAGATTACACGAACAAACAATGTTGAGTTCTTATTAGAATTTGGCTTATGCCCATTTCTATACTAATGTAGATTAACTTTAATCTCGGTTCTCTTTAATTCTTACACAGAGAGAATTTTTCTTAGAGTTTATCCTGAAAATATAATAGTCTTAGGACAACATTGTATTTTGAAGAATTTTATGTAAATTTCTCTTATTCATTAATAAAGCTATAATAAAATATATAATAGGATTGATTAATTTTGCTGAAGTGCATAAAAGTGTAAAAATCTTTAAAATATTATATTATATTACAACTATCATATTTTCACGTTAAATTTTAAGAGACAATTCTGTTCGTGTAGAATTAGAAAAAGATGAAGAGTTAGTTGAACTAAAGATTAAAGTTGAATTATTGATAAAAACTGACATTAAATATCTAAAGTGAAAGATCAGTTAGAAAATTTGTACATATGCATGCAATATTGATGTAATAATAGTTCTTTCTAGCTGAATTTTTACACCAATTTATTTTTCTTCTTTTTTTCTTCAGAAGGAAAGAAGAAGAAAGAAGTTGAGCCAAAGTTCAGCCAAAAAGAACAGGCTTAATGTAGCTAGTGATGTGTAAATGACTCATAAATAGGTCCTATTGAATCGATAAAATAAATGACTTTAGGAACCTTTTAAGGAGGTTCTCGCGCTACTTCCTAGACAATCAATAGACAATTCATTCATAATATGTAAAACAATTAAAATAATGGAATAAAAAGATTACTAACAATATCTTATACCATTATATATAATTATTGTTAATTTTATATATTACTAAATATTTTCAAAATGACAAAATAAAAGTTGTAAGATACTCATTTGATGTATATGCATCATCCATTTGATATATATTCTAGCTTTTTTCAATGAAAAATATAAATTTCTTGTAAACTGTATGGTCAGTTTAAATGAAACTTTATGAGCACAAATTTAAGTGTTTACTTTATAATTATAATGAATTTTAAATTGCTGTCTCATACACAAGTGTCTCAACTGAAAAGAGAATAACTCCAGAATAAGGTTATATCTTCAACTTGTAATGTAAAATTCTATAAATTTAGAATTAAACATCTTAAATGGTACGATAAAAATCAATGAAATTTTTTCTAGATATTATTGATATTACTAACATTTGTATTACATGTATATGATAGATTTGTCTTATATTTCATCAAACGCGAGAACTTTCTTAATGCCTATCTAAAATTTTTCTAAATACAGATTTGAAAATAATTTTGTTAAACTATCGGAATAATTTTGTAAGGTGCTCAAATTAATTATAGAATATCAAAAATTTTTGCATTGCTCATTACGCTTGACTTCCCTATATTATTTTCTGTATCAAATTTTTTAATATTTCCTAAATAGGTAATTATTTGGTAGCGTCACTCATGCTTGACTTTCCAATAAAATTATTTTCAGATCTGTATCTAGCTAAATTTTTAAATATTTCAGCAAAATCGTTCTTTCCGTGCATACTTTTTTGTTGCAGAAAGGCAGCGTTCAATTTTGCAATTATGTAAAATAGCGAGTAATAAAAAATTAGGTTAGATATATTGGATTTCGAAAATCTCGGACGTCTGTCAGCATATTTCATCGTGATTGAGTACCGCGCTTATAAAGTTGCTATTCTCTGTGGATCAAATACAGTTTATACAGGGATAAAATTTATGCACATGGATATTATCTAATCGAACAATTTTAATAAATATTTACAGGAAATAAGCACATGGTATGATCGGAGCAAATGCGGCAATAATTTCTATTCTCGCAGTCGGTAGTTGTCATCCTTCCTGTCGCTTCGCTATCACTGTAATGCGTGAGAAAAGATAAGAGGCAAAAGATACGAACTGTCCTCCGGTTAAGCCTCATCGTCGCCAATCAATTCGTGAGATTAGTCACACGCGTCAGCTATAATTACGTACTTCAGTTGCTATCCGCCCAACGCCCTTAATCGTGATGTCAGATTTTCTTTTCTTTTCTTTTTTTGCCGCCCTCACAAACTATCTAACTTCAGATCGCGCGAATCAATTTAGCGACTTTGACAGTTCCGGGATGCCGGATTGGTAAGAAAATTTATCGTGCAACGTGGAACGGAAATTCATATCGCTGCATTGCTTCGCAAACTGACTCACCGCGCTGGTCTACAGTCGGCCTTGCGCTTGATCCATACAAACGAAAAACGAGACGTATATCTAAACAATATATCGCGAAAAGTATTTCAATTATGCATTTATAACGTTCAAGAATTCGCCGCCGCATGTAAAGAAAAGGAAATCGCTGGCGGGATGGGCCGCTGATAAATTATCTGACGGGCGGAATGCCCGGCACTCGGCAGACCGATATTTTTATTTGCCCGCGTGGCACATTGCTTTATATCCAAATTTATTTTCAAATTTATATCCTCTTTTCCTTCTTTCCGCTCTGTTGCGGAATACCGCGGGGTCTATATTTCACTTCGTTTAATTCGGGCGGATCTGATCGATGTAAATACTCGAGTGGCATATTCGAGACCCAAGCCTTATTACGCGCGATAAATAACCATATTAACAATATATCACCAAAAATAATAGGATGTAACATTTAACATTAACTTGAAGTATCGATGAATCGAGCGATTATTATTGATCGTTTTTATTTTTTAAATTGTATAATATTATATTTCTTATATAAAAGATAAGAAGTTATTTAACTTTTATGCTGATGATATTTGATTTTTCATCATTTTCTTTATTTTTATAATTTATTTGCTTGGATTTTTTAGTGAGTAAGAAACTTGGTATACTTCTAGTAGGATAATATATAATAATTATATATGATATTTTTAAATTACATACATAATTTATAATTATTATAATATTAATATCAAACAATTATTAGGGATAAAAAAAAATGCGGACAAAATCGAACGTTAAGTTTGTCAAAACGAAAGTGAGGATAAAAGGCGATAAGATATATAAATGATTCTCTCATCCGCTTACAAGGTACTGTTTGTGGAACAATTTCGTAACGCAATATTTCCTTTTAAGTGCGATTTATAAAGCTCTCGATAGTAATATCACGGTAAATTTCTGGCGTTTGGAGGTATATTCGAAATTTGTTTGTTCGATCGTTCCCCCACGAGATGTAGCGTGTAAACGTGCCTATTCGGCAAGTTCGTTCCTTCTCTCACGCCGTGCGCGGCACGTGTTTTCATTTTGATATCGCAGATAGAGCTGCCTCTCATATCATTATTGTTTCAATACGCGCGGGAGATAAAAACTTCTCAAGTTCCGTTTGTTCCCGAGACTGCCGGGCATCTTTCCAGCTCTTTTCGTCGCAACAATAGATGGAGATTACAGACAAAACTGGAATATCGTATAGACTGTACACGTAGTGAATTGCAATTGTAACTAAAAATTTTCAAAATCGATGCCCATCGCTCGATGTATATTTTTGCGCGTTCTACTTTATTTTCTGCATTAAACTGTATAAAGTATGCAACAATTATCGAATAATAAAAAGAAATACAAATAAAATGTAACATTCTTGTAATATTATGTGGAGAGTAAAAAGGCACAAATTTTCCAAGTCCTGCATGACGTGTTTAACGACATTGTAAATTTGCTTAACGTTTTAACGTAAAATAGTATGCATATGCGGCAACTCAATTTTACAAGGGTTGATTGTTTTGTCAGTAACGCAATTTACATTTTCGAGTAATGGTCTGTCAAACATTTTGACTAAAACTGAAAGTGGTACATGAATGATAAAACGCGAAAGAAAATCAAATTAATTTAAGGAATTTAAAGATAATAACATATTGACTTAAAAATAATTTATTTTATACACATTGTATATACAAATAACATTCACGTACAGATATGTAGATAAAAAATTCAAATAAATATTCGGAGATATTGTCTCCAATGCGTGGAATATATTATTTATACTATTCTTATGTTTAATGTGAACTACGCGAAAATTAAATAAAAGTAAGAAATCAATTAATATATATTGCATAGTGAAGAGATTGCTATTATCACACGATATTGCAGCATAGCCTAGCTGTTAAACTTTTACTAAATGCTTTAGCTGCAAATTGCGTAATTGGCAAATCTTGTAAAAGTAAAAATCTGGAATCTCCTTCAAAGTTGAAAGTATCTTAGGTAGAAGGTATGTTGCTTACGCTATATAACCGTATCTCTATCTTTGAGAAATTCCTCAGTGGTTCATTTTAATAGATATATATATATGAGAAAATTTCTCATCGTGCAACTCCTTCTGAAAATTACGTAACGGTGAATTAACATCATTTGGTCCCCGGCATATGTGTTTACTTTAATAATTATCATACGGAAGCCTGTTACTTGGCGGCATGTTTTCCATAATGAGATATGCGCCTCGCGAATAAGATTGAGTAATACCTGTATTAATAGTACCTATACACACAATATCGTTATATATGCAAATCGCTTTGAATCGATCGTATATCTTCACAAACTGTTTAGCTCGAGCTTATATACTCCTCGCGAAAGCACCCAAGCTCTTTTTTACATTAAGCACCACGTGATACCGCCAAAAACCTAATTTATACGACACTAATCTGTGTTCCAAAGTTCACCCC